GTATTCCATGAAAAAAAACTTTTTTACCCATAGTTACAGACTCGACCTAATTCAAGGCTCGGGTTTTGGGTTTTGGCCAGGTTATTGGGTCGCTCGTATCAATTTTTTTCAAAAAAATTAAAACAACATCATTTTAGTAAAAAAAAAATCAATGAGTTGCAATCGGGTTTTTGACATGGTCTTGCAATCAACCGGGTTGCTGGGTCAACCTGTCGGGTCATGATAGGTTTTTCCTTCCTAATTTTTTCTTCAACCTAGCCTGACTCCAACCCCAAGTTCATGGTCGACTTGTCTGGCTAGATCGAGTTTTAAAACTATGTTTTTACCCTCAAAGACCACTTCACGTGTTTTTTGTTTGATTGACAAAAACATCATTATACCATCTAAATGTTTTTTTTAAGGGAATTTAGAAATTATAAACCACCCCCCTGTGGAAAATAATTTTATGATGTCATATGTATTTATCTTAAAAAAAACTAGCTCACATGTTTTTTTTTATTTGAAAGACAAAGATGTCATTGCATCATTCCAACCAACAACGAGGCCACAATGAATCTCTTATGCATTTGTTTTTTTTAATGTAATGTCTCAACAAAACATTAGACCTGATGAGAATTGATGCAATGCAATTGTGCTTAAATTTGTTCCTTCCTGTTAAAGACGAAGAGAGGCAAATATGTTTCAAACTAATGGTAATATGATATACTGAATTTGACAAATGAGTTTTTAATTATAAAAAAACTTCAACGATAAATGATAGTTAGATAAATAATCGTGGTCCATTATATATTTGTACAAAAATATTTATCTATTTATTTCATAAATAATTTATTCGTTAATATTATTACATAATGAAATTTCATAATTGGACGTATGCGGTATGACCGCTAATTAAATTCCAAACAACTCATAATACATGAGAATCCAACCATGCTGATTGTGCTAGCTTATATATAAGAACATGATCTAGCGCCCAATTTTTCCAGGATCACATCTTGGAGTTGTAATCTAGAAGATAAAAGAAAAGGAAGCTACAAATGCATGGCACTGCTCTCTTCATTAATAGTGTTACATTAAAATATTACTATACCATGAATGGATCACATGTGAAAGTGACGAGGATTGAAATGGAGTGCAGATCAAGCCCATGATACCCTAGACGATATCATCTAATTTTCAGAGTTGAAAGTTGAAATGTTCAAATCTGCAGCCTTCATCTTTAATTAGAGTCATGAAAAGAGGTGGTAAAAAGCAATGAAAAGAGCGTTGTTGGCCTGTGAAACACATAAATAATGGGAGGTGAAAGGGAGGGGAAACTGTAAGGGGGACATTAATCCACAAGGCTCCTCTCCCTCTCCCTCTCCCTCTCCCTCTCATCAAGTCAAAGCCAGCTCTTACAGGCAATCCTGGCCCATTATGTAAAGACAACACTCGCCACCCCTCAATCCAAGAAATTTTCACTTGATATAAAATCTACTTCCATGGGGGCACACCATGCCTCTTCTGCCTTTCAAAATATCATAACCCCACTTAAATTTTGACCCTTTGTCTTATTCTTCTTCTCTCATCGTCTCTCTCCAATCAGGTTATTATGTGGCAACTTCTATTTCCAATCACTTCCATGCAACTTTGTTTCATGTTTTTTCTATTCTAACAAAAAACCTAGTGTTATAACAGCTAGCTCCTTAAGTTTATGTCTCTATTAGTAGTACGATATTTACTTGCTGTTAATTTGAAGGAATCATATGCTTTTTTCTTCTCAGGTGGACAACGGTTAAAGAAACTTGACTAGCAGCTTGTCCTTGCATGAATTGAGCTTCTAGCTTCAGGGTTTTTTTTTTTTAATTATTATTAAAGCCATTCACACACGTATATAAAGCGATGGATAAAGAAGAGAATTACTCGGTATCTTAGCTCTCACTAGTATAGTACTGTCTTTTTTATTGATAAATCAATTCGCCACCATGTTACTTTGCTCTGAACTTTACTTCTCGCAGGGAAGTTTTACTGAGCTAGATTACTCTCTAGATCATCATCATCAACAACAAGACCACCTTGGACTCATAAAGCAGCGGATAGGTGAAACTTCTGGTGATGATGATTGCAACAATGGGATGATTGATTATATGCTCAATAATCCTCAACAACATCAACAACAAATGTCATCCGGGTTTTGCACTTCTACTTCTTTCGATAAATTGAGCTTTGCTGATGTGATGCAATTTGCAGATTTTGGGCCTAAGTTGGCCTTAAATCAAAACAAGATATCGGAGGAAGAAACTGGGATTGATCCGGTTTACTTCCTTAAGTTTCCTGTTTTGAATGATAAGATTGAGGAACAATCCATAAGGGTTCCTCAACTAGGTGGAGAAAATATTGAAGAAATGTTTACAGGAGTAAGTAGTGGGGAGAATAGGGCAGGAATGGTGGGGGAAGAGAGGGGAATTAGAGAAGATGAAGAAGCTAGGATTTCGGATAACAACTCGGTGCAACTTCAGTTTCTTGGAGATCAAGATCTTCAAAACAAGAACCCTATACCAGAGGGGAAGAACAAGAGAAAAAGGCCAAGAACTATCAAGACAAGTGAGGAAGTTGAGAGCCAAAGAATGACTCATATTGCAGTTGAAAGAAATCGAAGAAAGCAAATGAATGAGCATCTTCGAGTATTGAGGTCTCTCATGCCAGGATCATATGTGCAACGGGTATCAAGTTTTATGTGTTCCATTCAAGAAATGCCATGAAAATTCAATTGATTTTTTTTATCAAAATCTTAATTTGTTTGATATACAACCACCAAATTGGAAACCATTTTTAGTCTTTTAAGACATTCTATAACAGGATATTGGTTTTTGTGGATATGCAGGGAGATCAAGCTTCAATAATTGGTGGAGCCATAGAGTTTGTGAGAGAATTGGAGCAACTACTTCAGTGCCTAGAATCCCAGAAACGGCGAAGACTGATGGATGATTCCTCTCTTGCAATCCAACAACCAGCTCAGCCTGCATTCTTTTCTCCTATGCCTCTACCAAATGATCAAATGAAGCTCGTGGACTTCGAGACCGGACTCCGTGAAGAAACAGCTGAAAACAAGTCTTGCTTGGCTGATGTTGAAGTAAAGCTTTTAGGGTTTGATGCCATGATCAAGATCCTGTCTAGGAGAAGGCCAGGCCAGCTCATTAAGGCCATTGCAGCACTAGAAGATTTGCAGCTTAACATACTCCACACCAACATCACCACCATTGATCAAACTGTTCTCTATTCATTTAATGTCAAAGTATAAAATCAGCTGCCCTTTGCTCGTCTAACACCTTCTTGTTTTTTTTTTAACTGAATCAATCTTGAATAAAAAGTATTTTTCTTCTTTGGTTCAGATTGCAAGTGACTCTGGGTTTACAGCAGAAGATATAGCAAGCTCAGTTCAACAGATATTCAATTTCATCCATGCAAATAGCAGCATTTGATACAAGTCAACAATGGTACAGAAAAGATGAGCTGCTATGTATTTTGATACATACCTACTTCTAGATTATCCTTTTTGGCTATAACTTCTTTTTCCCCATTGTTTTTCCCTTTTTTTTTTTTTAATAATTACTAGTTACTGATCTAGTAACTAAGTATTGGATAGTTTGGACTAGTGATTCTGACGAGCCCATGTGTATGCAGTCTGTCTGTCTCTTGGTTCTTATTCTCTTTACATTTTCTATCTTCAATATTGTAAGAACATGTATTTGCACCTTGGCAATTAATGGTGGGGGTGATTAATTTTGCTAATCATGCAAGCCTTCGGATCTAGACTTTTTCCTTTTTCTATTTTCTTTTAATTTGTTGCATAGATTAGTATTATTAGACACCTCTACACCACATAACAATTAACATTTTAAGAGTGTGACATAGCGTTTCTTACCGCTTTTAAAATAAAACATTTTAAGAAGATAGCTTTTCTTTAACCATCACAGTTCAAAACTCACGACAAAGTGTAGAAAGAAAGGATCTTTATGAATAATTTTGATGCGAAGTCTCATCCTTGAGAATGACAGAAGATATACAATTGGGTTGACTTTGTTTGTATTTTTTTTTTCGTGATAACAAACAAATTACACATGCTGGCTGCTAGTACCATGGTAACCGAGTGTCTCTGGTCTCTTTGTCGTATGTATATGTGGTGGATCAGAAGATGGTGTGGCAGGGAAGAGAAAATGGGTTGTGGAGACAGATTTCGTTGATGATGCATGCTCGAACCACAATGATTTTCACTTATTATGAGGTCGAAGGTCAACGAGTCCCGTATCTTCTTGCAGTGGGTTGACTTGTCGGAATCAAGATTTGGTAGTATTAGGCTGGACCCTGATGCTGCCATTGTCGTAGGGTCCCCTAATTGAGAGTTTGTGAAGGTTCATGCTTGCTCACCCCAATTTTGTCCTGCATATTGTAGAAAGTTTTATCATGTGGGGTTACTGTTTCTGGCTTCTCCTTGAGTCAATTAGGATAGTGTCCAGTGCATTTAATGCATGGGGTTTATCATGGAGGTAATGTGTCAAGTGAGTTTATCATGGATGCTCATTTGGTGTTTTCTTACATAAGAGGAAGATCTTGCTTTCATGTTAGAGAGGTGATGTTTGCACATGATAAGGCAACATGATGTTACTCGACGTTGTACTAAACTTTAGAAAGCACTACTATAAAGTTTGGATATTGTCTTGTGGTAGAGAAGAGACTGAGATAATTAGGATAAAAGAGACATTTTTTTTTTATTGTAACAACTTAAACTGATTTCAAAATTATCCTAGAAATATAAATATTTTTATATTTTTGTCTCTATTCATGCCACCAAACACATTTTTCTTGTTTTGAAAAAACTTAAATTTACTTAAAAATTATTCTAGAGATATATTTATTTTTATATATTTATCTTTGTCCATGCAACCAAATACATTTATGTTATTTTTATATTTTTTTCTGTCATAAAATATTAGCCAAACATAAAAGGAAATGGAGATAATGAAAGAATTAGGATATTTGATGCAACCTTGTCGATATAAAGATACAGAAATTCATATTCAAATTGACCTTTCTTAAAAAAGCTAAATTCAGGCTTGTAATTGAGCTTAATAAAATAATAACCTGTATAAAAATATAAAGAGTATAAAAACCGAACCCCTACATAATGCCTATGAATAAACATAAATGAGAAGTATAAAAAACAACACAAAACTTGGTTAATTCTTCGATAAGTCATGGTAGTTTCATGAGGAACCAAGAGGAATAATAAACTCTTACACACAAGTTTTATTTCTGAATAACCAATCCATTTCTTATTATTATTTTTAAAACTTAAATGCAAGCTAAATAATCTTATTTATACTAGGTAAAATATCCTAAACAATAGTGAAAAAATAATAAAATATTTTTAAAAAAATAAAAAAAAAACTTAAACAATAGTGGAAAAATAATAAAATATTTTTTTTTTTTTAAAAAAAGATCAATCTTAATCAATTAGAAAATTAATAAAATTTATGCGATCAATCATAAATCAATTAGAAAATTAATAAAATTTATGCACAATAGCTTTTGAACCTTATCATAAGGTCTTTCAGATATCCGATTATCCTGAAATTTTAACCCAATATAAAACAAGACATTTGAAAACTTCTGGTAAAACTTTATCCCAATATAACAGTCCGATTAAAAAGTATGCTTATTAATTAGAGTAAACCTATGCATTAAGAAAAATAAGTCCAAAATATCTTTAATGCCAAAATTAAATAGTCTATCATTGCAAAATGACTAGGTTATGACTAGGTCATCTTCAATAAAATCATATGCATATCATAAAAATAAGCATTATTTATCTCATCTCTCTTTTATAAATATTAACATGTTTCTTAAATTTTTCCAATTCTTCTTTTCTCACCTTTTCTTTTTCTTTTTGTCTTTTCTTTTCTTCTTTCTTTAATAAGCTGAATCCCTATTAATTCTTATTTTATCTAAATCTAATCTTTTTTCTCTATTGGTTCACTTTATTTTCACTCTTTATCACATTCTCATATGGTTTAATCTTTTTTCTTTGGCTTCATTTTCTCTTTTCAATTTCAATTGGTCTTCATACACTTGTCTTATGGATAATGGTACAAATATGAGTTTCTTTTTACCATTCTCTAGAGATTATATGTTCTTAAACCTATCATGATTGGTTTTTGTATCAAATTGCATAGGTCTTCCTAATTATACATGAGTAATATATATTGGCACAACATCATATAAAATCGCATCCTTATATTTTCTAATCGAAAAAGAAACCAAAACCTGCTTAGTAACTTTTACTTCTTTATAATCATTCAACCATTAAAGTCTATAAAGCTTTTCATGTTTAATAATGTTCAGATTTAGTTTTTTAACAAGTATAGTACTAGCAACATTAGCATAACTCTCATCATCAATAATCATACTACATACCTTTTTAATTTGAACATTAAGTGATCTATTAATCATCAAAGCCTTTTCATCAGTTAGATATTTAACATTACTATAGTCTTCAAGTGGTGGCATCTCATCCTCCTCGGATTTGTGACTTTTAGATTCAATCTTACCATGCTTCCTCATAACCATAATCCTTTTGTTTGGACATTGTAAATCAAATGTTCACTCTTCAAACACCTAAAACACTTAATATCATAATTATGATTAAATGGGATCTTAACTTTATCTTTTTTATTTTAATGGTCGAATATTTTCTCTAAGCCTTAGATGATTCAACATTGATATAAAAGCACCTTCTCTCCTATAATTTGGCTTATAAGCTAAAAATAAACTTGAATTACCTTAATGAAATATACTGCCCTTTCTATTTGACAATCTCTTTATCCTGGTAGCTATATGAACCATATTTTCAATCTTAATATAGTGTTGTAAATTAACCATATTATTTATATCTCTATTCAATCCATCTAAGAACCTTGCCATTGTAGCTTTTCTATCCTCAATAACATTAGCTCTAATATTGACAATCTTCATTTCCCTGTGATAATCCTCTACATTCTTAGAACCCTTAGACAAACTTTGTCATTTTTTATATAGTCTCCAATAATACCTAGACAAACTCTGTCATTTTTTATATAGTCTCCAATAATAATGATCAAGAACAAACCTTTTTCTCATGACTACTTTTATCTCATCCTTAGTATTTATAGGTCTCTCTCCATTACTTTTTTTTTTCTAAGACAAGTTGATCCTACTAAATAAAAACATAGTCAATAAACTCAATAATAATAAGTTTTATTTTCTTTATCTCAGAGCAATGGTGAAAGTAAAAAATTAACTCCTTTTTTTTTCCACTTTAAATAAGCTTTTGGATTGTTTTTGTCTTGAAAAGCCATAATTTTCATCTTAATATTACTTAAATCTCTATCCAAACCATCTTAAAATCCATCCTTCCTGTCTACCCTCCTATGATTGAATTGCTTAAGTCATTAAACTCCTATAAGCCTTTGCTTATATGGGCCAAAACCTATAACCATGATTGTCATCAAGATCTTTGACCTCCTGATTTGTATTTTTGGCTATAGAGTTTTTTCAAATATGAATTAGCTTGTCTTATAAACCTCTACGGTTTGACCCATCTTAAAGATTAGCCACTTTGGTTCTCAAACCAGCCACCCCACTTATTACTTTTGTAAACTTTATATTTATGAACTCCAATTATTGTTTTATGGCCAAATAACCCTATTTAGGAATATTCCTATCGTTTAATGGTGATGATCCACTTTTAGTTGACATCATTAAGAGTTATAGATTAAGTTAGTAGCAATACACACACACACACACACATTTACATTAAATAGATAGCACTCCTCATGTGTTTCATATAAATTTTTAGCTTTTCGCTTTAATATTCTCACCTTTGTTTTTTATCACTCAATTGTCAAGATTTTAGTTCTTTAAGGAACTAGTATTGAAGATTAATATATTAATGGTATAATCAAATAATGTAAAGACTTAAAAAGTAATAAAAACTAAAAACTATCAATAAAAAACTTTGAATACTAAAATACAAATTCGTATGAAATACTAATGATACGAAGGCATGAAAAAAAGACCATGAAAATTAAGAAATCAATGAAATAAGATTTAAACAACTCAAAATAACAAAAGCACTTTCAATTATATATATATATATATGGTGGTCGAAGCTAAAAAGATAATAATGATGTAATAACTACCATTTTTCTATTGTAATTTTCAAGAAACTCAACCAAGTAAATCTAAAATATCCCAATTTAAGATTTATCTCTAAGAAACCCTAAGACTTAAGATTTTTTTATTGAAAGTAAGTGGTCGAACTCTCTGTTTTTTTTAATCAAAATTTGCCACACACCCTAATAATTGTTTTTCTTGCGATTTTCTTTGTTCTTCTATTTTTTTATAAGACTTTTTTAATCAAGATCACAATTTTTTTTTTTTAACTTGATGTCATAACTAGTTTTTAAAAAAGATAAAGAACTTAATAATAATAAAGTATACGAAAAGACTTGAAGATAAAAGGGATATAAACTGATTTAGAGTCTTGTATTGATACCAACTAATGCAAACCTCATGGATATAAAAATCTAGAAACCTACAGTCAAGTCAAATCAAATCTTTCTAAGAAAGCTAAGATCAAGCTTGAAATTTAGCTTGACACAATGATAACTTGTATCGATGCACTAAGACTATAAAAATCAAACCCTTGCTTAATGCCTACGAAGAGACATGAATAAAAGCCATAAAATACAACACAAAGCTTGGTTAATTCTTCA